GAGAGAGAGAGAGAGAAGGAGAGAGGCAGAGGAGGAGCTCCTGATTAGACTGTAGAGAAAGCAGAGGAGATATAGAGATGCAGTGAGATGTGCATCCTGCGCGCCTGAACTAGCAGGCAGGCAGGGAGACACCACACGGAGCCTGGGGAAGGCGCACAGAACCGTACAGAGCCACACGGAGCCACAGAGAGCCAGCGTCTGCCCAGGAAGAGTGCAGTGCAGTGCAGTGCAACGCAGCCAGGAGTCACCCGTCTGCTCGCTGCCGTAGCCGCCTGTCACTGTGAGCGTGCTGGACCGCCGCTACACACCTTCCGCTCTGCGTGCACATTTGTGAGTGTGCAGCTGCCTGCGCGTATGAGTGTGCTTGCGCGGCTGCTTGCGCATGTGAGCGTGCAGCTGCCTGCGCGTGTGCACCCATCTGAATTTCCCTTTTTCTGGCGAGAGGAGTAACTGCAGCAGTGGACTCAAAGGGACAGAGCTGTCACTGTGGCTCCCTGTGTGTGGTGTGGCTGCCAGCACTGCATTGGTATTCCGGGGGCCCTCAGCTCCCCTTCAGGATGGATCTACAGGGACGGACTTGCACTTGCCTGGGGGGACAACACTGAGCTGGTGGGGTGAGTCTCGCTCTTTGTGTCTCATATTCTCCTACACATCTTCCCTTTATTTTGTTCTGCAGTCAGGTGCCTTTTCTTCCATTTTCACTTCATCAGTCAGTTTTTTCCATCATATTTGCTCCACCCCCTAACCCCCCACCTGCTTCCCAACCCCCTGTTGCTGTCTCTCTCTCTCTCCCTCTCTCCCTCTCTCACAGGCTGGCTGACGCTCATTTTAATGAGATTGTTTTTGTTTGGTGTGTGGCATACCTTCCTCTGAGGTTCCTGAACCCACACCACGATCTATGGAATTAAAAGCTTGTAAAAACAGGGACCATAGGTAGGAGAGATGAGTCACAGAGGAGAAAGATCCACACACCCAAAAGGCATCAGCATCCTGTAACGCTGCTTTGAGCATTATGCTGTCTGATAGGACAGCCTGGGTAGAGTCACCGACATCGGCTCCATGCTGTTAAACTCTCCCTCTGCACAACACTGACAATCGCCAGAAGGTTCTATAGACAAAGTGTTCTGCTGGCAGACAGGACTATGGGTCCCAGTGGCTTAGTGTTGGAGGGGAGGGGGGCTTTCACGTGAATTTGCACAGACCCACAATAAAACCTGGGTCACTTTCTTAACCTTGTATCTCTGAAGGTTTTAGTAGGTCCACTTCTTCTTGTCTTTCGGAATCGCTCTGCTTTTGGGAGATGTGTGGACTAGTTGAGTCTGGCAAAGGGACACACACTCCAGGACTCTGGAGAAGAGAAACAGCAGAAAGCAGCTGGTCTGCTTTGAGATCTCAGTCAGTAATAGACCCAAATGCCACTTTACAGAGGTACACGCATTAGCTATGATGACACAGAGCTACACTAAATAAGAGGAATGAATGTGGTATTTGAGTAATATGTCTGCTTCCTCTCCACAGAGGCCTGGCTTCATAGCGCTTATTCTCTACCCTGCCTAAGCACTATCTCTGGCCCCACTGTTGGTTTCTCACCATGGACCAAACCTGCTACATCCAGAACCACGGAGATCGCATGGCAGGGAGCAGCTCAAAGGCTTCCTTCACTTCCTTTGGAATCTGAGCGGGATTCTATTCAAGACTGGATCCTGTGGATCTTCCTATTGTGCAATGCCCAGATTTGGATTGATGTTGATATGGGATTTGATTCATATTGCAGGCATGAGATCATCCACACAATGGAGTTTTTGATCTTATAATGTACTGACCTTCTTCAGACAGTCACCGCAGTCACCTGGAGAGAGAGTGACATTGTTTTGCGCATCACAGCTGGAATTCAGACCTTCAGAACATCACTGTGAAAGCCCAGCTTTCTGTGAGAGCCCATCACTGTGAAAGCCCAGCTTTCTGTGAGAGCCCATCACTGTGAAAGCCCAGCTTTCTGTGAGAGCCCNTGAAAGCCCAGCTTTCTGTGAGAGCCCATCACTGTGAAAGCCCAGCTTTCTGTGAGAGCCCATCACTGTGAAAGCCCAGCTTTCTGTGAGAGCCCTTCACTGTGAAAGCATAGCTTTTTGTGAGAACCCAGCTTTCTTTACCTGCCTGCATTAGTCACTGGAAGAGCTCATGTGAGGAGCACAGGAACACACCCCCCTTGAGGGGTCCTGGAGCACTGTGGGATTCCTGCTCTGAGTTTTATGGTGCATTGAGCCCCCCCGTGCCACATTTGGGAGGTGTCTCTATTTGACATAAACATTGAATTTCCTTTATTTTTTAATTTTGTTGAGAAATCAAAATATTTGGTAAAATGATTAAGAACACCGTATTTTATCACGTGACAGTACAGTAGGTGGCGCTGGGGGAAGCAGAAGACAAAGCACAGAGGGACTGGTGAAAAGTCAGAGAAGAAGCACTGGAGGAGTGGGAGGGCTACAGAGCAGCGACCCTAAGAAGACTCCAGCTGCCTCTACTGTGGAAGGGTGGAACGACAGAGGAGGCGAGGGGAAGGCGAGAAGGTGTGGAAGTAAACAGCGGAAGTGTGACGTGCCTGAGCTTAGAGTGAGAAGCAGTGGGAGGACAGGGCCGCCTTTCCGTGGTCGTCACGGTGAGAGACGGCGTTAGCATTAGCAGAAGCACACGCCTGTCGCTATAGCATCAGAGCCGACCGGGGGTCAGGTGCCGGGGCAGGGGGCAATGCTGCTATCAGAGGCAATTAAGGGGATCTGATTGAGTGCCTCAGTCGTCTGGCACAGGTGGCAACACACAAAGTCACTCGCGAGAGCGACTTAAGTGAGACCAGCAGAGACGGCGGACGGGCACCTGTGCCAGGAAGACGCCCCTTGGCTTCGCCTTCAAATTTTAACTGATTTGAGAAACATAGGAAGAGGATTTGAAGGCCTCCTCACGGCCCAGAGGGATAATGGTGTGGGGGGGAGGAGGGGCAGAGTCAGATACTCTTGGTCTGGGGGGGGGGTTTGTTTTCCTGAGCCTTTCTCATCCTGGAATCCATCGTGAGCTCAGCGTTTCTGTCCGTCACCAAAAGAGGAGCACTGCCATCCACCTGCCCTCCTTTGCTCCCTCCGTTCCTCCATCTCTCATCCTCTCTCCGTAGCTCTCTGTTAGGTCACAGCAGAATTACGTACTTTTTTCCAGATATATTCCGCCCCACTGCGACCTAAGATTTCTGTAGTGGTCGATGACTCTCTATCCACCTCCACCAAGCCTTCAACTAAAAGATAAAGTCGCCCCCCCCCCCCACGCTGCCTGAGCACCCTGGAGTCCTGTGGAGGGCAGCCCCTCTCTGGGGGACAGGAATAACAGCGGCCCGGATGTGCGTCTCCTCTGGCCTGGCCTGTCGACAGCATCGCACCGTCTACTATGGAACACAGCGCCTAGTCTTGGCAGATTCATTCTGTGAGTAAATATTTTTCTTCTGTGTATTACTGCCTGTGAAGGTCTCTGCCCTCTGTGACTGTGGGCAGCCTGCTTGCCCTTGCGTCTCGCTGCATCGTGCATCAGGTGGCGCAGGCTCGCAGATGCAGGATGTCACCCGGCTCGCATGTGGTCAGGCAGATTACTATCGTCTTCATTTCTCTGAAGAAATAGAGCGTAGTTATATAGCTTCACATTTCCAGTTCTGAGTTAGCTTTATGGAATGTGTATTCCCCTATTGTTACTGGGGTCTTTTGGGAGTGAATACATGCAGTATTTATGAAGGTATAAATGCCACTTTACCACTTTACATGCAGCCATTTCTGCACAGTTTCTCTTCTTCCTGAAGACAGCAGGCACACAGTCAGGCAGAGCCCAGGGCAGTGGACAGGCTGGTAACCCTGGCCTGCTGTGCTTCAGCGGCCTGTGCATTCCACACAATGGGCAGGAGGGTGCTCAGTAGCCGACGTGCTCAGCGTGACGGGCAGGAGGGTGCTCAGTAGCTGATGCCCGTCACGCTGAGCACATCAGCTACTTAATAGTGAATATTTTATTAACTATTGATAATACGAAATATTCTTGTCTTTATTGTTTATATAAAAAGTTTCATGAGTACTGTTTTGTCTGTAAAAAAACAGCTTAAATAAGTAATTAGTTAATCAATGAATAAAGTAGGATTAATGTGTTAATATCTATTAATAGTAAAGCACAAAGTCTTGCTGTAGAAATGTCCTTAGCTTGTTTTTGTAGTTGAGTAAAATCCTAATAATAAATAAATCTAATAATTTAAAGCACGCACACGCACACGCACACGCACACACACACACACACACACACACACACACACACAGAGGGCACCGAAATAAAGCCCCCAGTACCTCCTCCCATCTGCTTACAATAGGTTTTGTGAAGTGTCCTTGTCTGCAGCAGTTATAATATCTTTTGTTTTGCATACTATCATTTGTAACTTTAGCTTGTGGAATCACGACTATGCTTACACTGTAATTGTTAAAGGGGGGTGTCTCTATTCAGGCGCGGAGCCCCCAAAGCCCACCATAATCCATCACTATTGTTAATTGGCCCTGATAAATGTACCGAGTAAATGCTGGTTCCTTTACATGCAGGGGATGTGTGACAGTCGCTCTCACCCAGACGTTCCCACAACAAATACTAATGAGCTAGTGGCTATTTTATCTTGTCTGTTGATTACTTTGCTTTTAATTGTCAGTGATGAGCAATAAGACACATTGGGTCTCATTCACCAACTGTTCCTAAGAAAAAAGATTCCAACATTCATCAATGTATTTTTATTGGGACTTGTTCTTAGGTAATAACAGAATCCACACACTCCAGAGCACACTTAAGCACATTTGAGTGCTGATAAGTTTGTGCAAAACAATTGCTTAATGCGTTCTCTTCCTATATTATAGCATTTAAATTAAAATATTTTTATATCATTTATAATATTTTAAATAATTATTTTATAATGATTATTTAAAAAAATAATTATTAACTTATTAAAACAAGTAACAGCATCCATTCATCATTTTGTGTTGTTTTATATCTTGTCCTGGTGGTCCAGAGTATGACGGCACCTTTGCTGTTCACTCACTGCACTGATGTTTTTCTTGACGTTTGGCTTCCAGTGCTCCACCATCTTTTAAAATTAATCAAATTCAGGAATCAGAGGCAATTCACGAATATAGGACTTTCTAAATCCACTCGACTGATGCATTCCACAGTGCCGGGAGATTAATCTAGAGACTCCAGTTTACACAAAACTGCCTGCAATTTTTTTGTAAATGCAAATATTCACATTTACATAAGTGCAAATCTCTAAATCAAAACAATTTACATCAATAAAGATGTATTATTAGGGCAGAACCCTTTAACAGTTTACAGCCAAATCCAGTTATATCTGCATGATATTTGGATGTTCTCTCAGTGTCTTCAGTCCAAATGGTGTATTTCCTGTGTTTTTTACAGTGAAGGTATTGATGTGCCTGTGCTGCCTGTGATGTTCTGGGCTCTGTGACTGCAGGCCGACTTTCTGTCTCCCTCTGATTAGCACTGTATGTTACCAGCATTCAGGATTCATTTTTAAATATAAAATATATCAGATGTCCTATGTTTGAATCAATCCAGTGCAACATAAAGTGCAGTTACAGTTTTAAACCATGAAGCCATTTGCTCAGCACTGACCACAAAATGATGCTGAAATTTGCTGTGTTATTTTAATAGAAACAGTCCATTTGACCTTAATCTATAGGAAATGCTGTCAGCTACAGTATGAGTTTCTGGGCAGCAGCTTCAACATGAAAATAAAGGCAAGTTTCTGAACTCACAAACAGTGACACCTGAACAGCATCTGCACCGGCTGTCTGATGTCTAACTTCGCTGCATAACTTTTAACACTCTTAGTGTTACTCGTGTCTCATTCGTCTGTCAGTAACCTGCTTTTTGGTTGTGACTTGCACTGTAGCAACCAATCATTGTGAGGGAACCTTAGTTGTTGGAAAACTACACACTGCATTATTTTCATTTGAATTATTTTACATTGTATTCACTTCATTTTTACACAGCACCTTTCCAGTATTGTTCTAAAATGTGCTTAACAGTATAAAAGTTACCAATTTTTTGAAAACACACAGAATAAGTGAATGCTATATTAACCTCCTCCCCACGGCACTGCTAACCTCCACCCCACTGCACGGCTAATCTCCACCCCACTGCACTGCTAACCTCCACCCCACGGCACTGCTATCCTCCACCCAACGGCGATGCTAACCTCCACCCCACGGTGATGCTAACCTCCACACCACTGCACGGCTAACCTCCACCCCACTGCACGGCTAACCTCCACCCCACAGCACTGCTAACCTCCTCCCCACGGCACTGCTAACCTCCTCCCCACGGCACTGCTAACCTCCACCCCACTGCACGGCTAACCTCCACCCCACTGCACTGCTAACCTCCACCCCACAGCACTGCTAACCTCCACCCCACGGCACTGCTAACCTCCTCCCCACGGCACTGCTAACCTCCACCCCACTGCGATGCTAACCTCCACCCCACTGCACTGCTAACCTCCACCCCACTGCACGGCTAACCTCCACCCCACGGCGATGCTAACCTCCACCCCACTGCACTGCTAACCTCCACCCCACAGCACTGCTAACCTCCTCCCCACGGCACTGCTAACCTCCACCCCACTGCGATGCTAACCTCCTACAGGTCAAAAATAAGTGTGTTTATAGCTAAATTCTCAATGACGTGTGCTTCTGTCTGCTGCCCCAGGCAGATCTGCACATCTCTCTCAGCACTTACGTGGTACTCCTCCACGTTTTCACCCTAAGCTGTCACCTTTACCTGTCTTTTCACTTTTCTCAGCTTTTCCATAAACATGATTTCCACGAGTCTGTCACTGCTAACAGCCCATGAGCTTGCAGCCGCAACACTGCACACTGACAGTCTTCTTGAGTAGTCATCTTAAATTCATAGGCATTGTGCTGATATTGACAGAGAAGGGTTTTTCAAATTCTGTTTTTATTTTCGAACACCTCCATTCTGTGTGGGGAAGATGTATTTAGAGTGAAGTACATAAGGTACTATCCATCATTTTATGTATAAGGCACAGTGTATAATTGTGTGTATAAATTACCATCCACTCTGTTTTTATGAGGTATCATCATTCTTCACCTTTATGGAGCAGAATATTGATGTGTACTTAAGGTAGCACCCACTAATGCAGGTAAACAATGCAGCACATTCCTGGGTGTGGCATGCGGAGCAGTCATGTTACCTGTTATTCTGAGTATAGTAGATTGTGTGTTACTGAAGGTGCAAGGTGCAGCTCTGTAAAGCACGATTGCTGTTGTATCTTAATTACTGTTGATGTGGCTGCATGGGGTGTCGATAGGTGTTTATCACGCTGACGAAGCAGGAACTGCAGAGGTGGGGTCCAAGAAAATGAATGGCGAGAGAGAGCCTTGTGTATGGAAATGCGACTCAGCTTCCGCGGTCTATGAATACGATGGGGCAGGCGAGCGGCACTGGGCTCTGGAGCGCCTGGACCTAGCCAAAGCCCCATGTGAGACACACTCAGTGGATGTCAGATTCACAGGGTGTAGTGGGAACAGATCGCACTTTAGAGAGAAAAACACCCCCCTGGCAGCATAGGGGGCAGGGGAGAAAAAGAGGGTCATGTGACAGAAAGGGCTGTGATTGGATAACACTTTACTGAAGGGGGCATGTAGCATTATGCTATTACTAATGTATTAGTTAACCACAAGCTAAGTCTTAGTTACATACTGATCTCATGTTCGTTCATCATTAATGCATCATTTATCTGAAGTAGCTGCTATATTCGTTCATGATTTGTACTTCAGGAGTAACTGAACTTACTACTAAGTATTTGTGTCCCCTTAAGGTAAACGATTTTATGTATATGAATGTACAGGTACATTTCTTGGATTCTAAAGCGAAAAGTCAAATATAAGCTTAAATATAGAATAAAAAAAGAATGTTGATAATCAGTTACATATGAATACCTGTTGTTAAAATGTTAGATCACAGTGGTGACAGAATCTGTTTTAAACCCGTCTAACGTGACATTTGCCGCTGTGATGGCTTCCGGAAATGGGGCAGTGAGATGAAGCTCAGGCGTAAGGCCCATCTCAGAGGGCAGCGGTCTTCATATATCGCTGCCATTAAACACGCTTAGCATTAAATATTTACGGAGTCATTAGTGGAACAGTAAATGAGGGCTTTGGGTTAGGGGGGAGCGAGGTTTGTCCCAGGTACGGGGGGGTGGCGGGCTGGTGCCCGGGGGTCGACGTGGAGCGACTCCGGTTTATCTCAGGCTGCTCTTTATCACCCCACACTTCTGCTGAAGCTTTGCTTTCTCAGCCCTTCTCCTCCCCTGCATGAAAAAAAGAAATATATTCTAAACCCCACAAATTAACTACCATGAAATATATCGC